TCCCCCTCTCCCGCCCTGCCCAGCCTGACTCCCTAACTGCTCTGCCACCCCCAGACAGAGCCCCATCTGGCTCTGGGGCAGGGGGCTGGGGGGCGGGTCAGCCTCAGGGTCTGGTAGTCCTGTGAGGGGACGGTGAACCCAGCTGGCCTCAGGACCCTCTCCTGTCCTCACTGCAGCCCCACCAAACATGCACTTCATTTCTTGGTCACTTCCAGGGGCGGTGCCTGCCCTTCACCAGGCACACAGGGGCACAGCTGGACACGGCAGGGGTGGGGGCAGGAGACTGGACAACCGACATGTGCATGAAGACAGAGGACAGAGCCTGGTCCCAAGGCCCCATGGACACAGGCAAAGTCGCCCACTACCTGCTGGCCGAAGACCTGAGCACCCCCCGCCCCCGCCCCAGCAGAACCCAGGGAAATGAGTGGCAAAAACCACGCCCACCAGCCAGGTCCGACCAGAATGCTGAGGGCACAGACGGGTGCATCCGAGGCTGTGAGCGAGTGCACACACGAGTGCACATGGGTGGGCCACACAGCTGAAAACCACCGGCTGCCTGCCGCCTGCCAGGACAGAGGGCTCCCCCCTCCCACGCCTCCACTCCCTGGGGGAGGGCACGGGGACAGGCTGGGAGGGGCATCTCCCCTTTCCCAGGTCCAGCTGGGAGCAGGCCCTGGCAGGGGGCCTTCCTCAGAGGAAGCTCTCAGGATCTGCGCAGGGGGAGGCCCCTTCAAGGGCAGCTTCCCTCTGTACTGGACTCTACCAGAGGCTTCACCCCTCCGCAGGGGCTGAAGCACTGACTGCAAGGGGCTGTCTCTGAGGCTGTCTCCCACCCTCCTGTGGTGACGGGGGTGGGACACTCTGACTCTCACGGGTGGGGATCAACCCTTCAGGAAGGAAAGGAAGCAGCTGCCCTGGCCTGGCCACAGCAGGGGGGGGGGTGTCCAGATGACCTCTGGCTGGAGTGTGCCCCCCAACTTCTCTAGAGTAGCCCCACCCCACCCTCTGCAGTGCCTGTCAGGGGGTAGCCCCCAGACCTGGGCCAGCGTGCCTTGACCAGGAGACCACCTGCAGAGATGCTGGGAGGGCATAGGCAGCCCCTCAGAATACACTATGTCCAGCACCTCAGGGGGAGACCAGTGTAGATGGGGGGGTGGGGGGAGCATAGCTTCAAAACAACTGTTTTTCCATTTCTGTCTATAGGGCAGAAGGGAGCCTGGGGCTCTCCTCTGGGTGGGGATCAAGGGGGTAGGGTAGGGTCTGGAAAAAGCCAAGCGCTGTTACCACTTGCTCAGTCCTGCCCTCTTTTCCCTGCCTAAAGGGAGGTCATGCCCACAGAATTGACAGGACCCCCCACCCCTGCCAGCAAAGCCCACCCCCAGGGCTGCCCCAGGTAGCCCATGGTCCAGGCACAGGTGAGCCCAGGTGAAGTCAAAGCCCAGGCAAGTCTGTTCATGCATGCTGGAAGCTCCAAGCCCTGACTTCCTACCAGGAAACCCTGGTGGGAGAAGACAGAGGTGGGCCACTCCCCACCTGGGCAGACCCCCCACACCAGCTGCAGGAGGGAGATTCCGGCAGGCTCTGGCCTGGACCTGCCTGGGGGAGGGGCCAGGGAGGGGCTTGCAGGCCTTCAGAGGGCCCTGGGTGGGGTCTGAGGAGAGCCTGGAGTCTAGAGGGGAGCAGAAGAGGGGAGCAGGAACAGAGAAGCCACCCCCCTCAGCAGGGAGGAGCAGGGGATCGGGCAGGCTCCAGGAATGGGGGACAGAGACTAAGCACCACACGGCAGAGGGAGCCAGCCCCAGCCTGAGGAGGTCCCCCTGCAGCCCAGAGCCCTCCCCAGATGCTGGGCGCTCCACACACTTTGGAGAGCCTGGTCTGGGGGTGTTGGGCCACCCACACCCAGCTCCCACGCCATCTGTGGGGCCTGCACCAACCACTGCCCCTGGGGTCCGGGACGCAGCCCTTCTCCAGACTGAGTCCCAGGACTGCCCTCCTGGAGGCCCTAGACAGCTTGCCTGGCAGGGAGGAAGGAAGGGTGCGAGGCCAGGAGCTTGGCTGGCAGGACCCCTGGCTTCAGGGCTGGGCAGTGCCATACTGGGCAGGGCCACCACACTCACTCCAACTCTGGCCCCCTGCCCTGTCCCTGTTCCAGGCCCCAGCAGGGCAGAAACACTTTCTTTTTCTGCTCCTGGATCCTAGGGGGAGGGAAGGGCCCAAGGCCACCCTGTGGGCCTTTGGCCAGGCCTGTGTCCCTCCTGGGGACGTCAGAGGAGGCTCTAGACCAGCCTTCGTAGGTGGGGAGTGTGTGGGCAGCGCCCAGACCAGCACAAGGTGGCTGAGTGCTGCAGGGGACCGCCCAGCCACCAGCCTCAGCAGGCTCAGCAGGCTAACGGTGCTGTGTGCATGGGCAGCTGGCACTGGAGAGGCTGGGTCACTTCCCTGACAAAGCAGGGGGCGGGGGTCTCCTTCCTCCGGAAGGGAAGGAGCAGGCCTTACCCGCCCAAAGGTGGCGCAGAGGGAGGGGCACATACCTGACTCAGTTATGCCAGGAATGTGGCTCCCCGGCAGAGGACAGGGGAGGAGGAGCTTCCTGGGGGCTGTGGACTGGGGGAGGGGCCTGGGCAGCACCAGGAAGACTGCAGGCTGGGGAGAAACTGAGGAAGAGGAGTGTCTACCAGAGCTGGGGGACCAGGAGCGTGGCCCAGCAGCAGATGCCCCTCAGGGCTACATCCAGGCAGGGCTGGGGAGGCTTTGGGCGGGGGGAAGGGGGGTACTCCAGGACAGGGATTCCCTTCACAAGGTGGGACCCAGTGGTTTCTGGGGTCACCTCAGGGCTGTCCAGACGGCACCTGTGCCCTGTGGGGGTGGGGCAGCGTGGGGTCAGAGTTGGATAGAAGGGCTCAGCTTGGTTCAAGCGTGTCCATCTGTCCCCCTCACAGCATGAGATCTTGGCTACCAGAGAGCCTGGGGCGGGGTTCGGTGTCCTTATCTCCTACAGAACAGGAGGCAGTAGGCCCACCTCCCACCCTCTTCCAGCTTGTGGGGCGGGGCAGGCACAGAGGACGTACGTTCTCCAGAGACCTTGTCCCTCAGGGCTGAGGGAGCCTGGAGGAGGTACTCTGTCTCCCTGGGCTCCGGTGGCCCAACGACTCTGTCCTAGCAGCTGGCCCTCCCAGCCCACGCCCTTCAAGTCCTTGTCTGCTTCCAAAGCAGAGATCCATGTCCCCCTTGCTCAAAGCTTCCAGCTCCAGTTATGTTCACTCTTGGCTGAGGGGCTCTCCCTGCGGACCCTGCTCAGTCTAGGCATTCACAGCCTCAAAGCCAGGGCCTGGCATGGGCAGGATGGGCTTTCGCAAGAGGCCAAACGTCATTCTGCCCAGGGTGATCTTGTGGCCATGTGCCCTCTGACCCCATGGCAAGTCCTCACTTACTGAGTCAAGGACCCTGGGACTGGACCTGCCCAGCCGTAGAGTTAATGATTCCCCCTCTTTTTTTTTTTTCCTTTTTGTCTTTTTTACTGACCAGTAACGGGATCGCAACCCTCGGTGTCGCGCCCGCACCACGCTCAGCCAGTGAGCGGGAACCGGTCTCCACATGGGATCCGAACCCTCGGCGGGAGCGCCGCTGCACTCCCAAGCGGCGCACTCTCCAGTGCGCCACCGGGCCGGCCCAATGATTCCCCCTCTTGATCTTACAGGGACAAAGGACTGTGAGCCCATGACTCGCCCTCTCTGACCCCTCCTCAGCCCCTGACTCATCCCCCACACCGGGCATCACACCCCGGCCTTCTCCAGCTGCAGACCAGCACCTTCCTTTCCCCACACCATAAGCGTCCAGACAGGGCCAGGCTGGCTGGGACCCCGCAGCTGAGCCTGTGCTGGGAAGGCACCCACGGGACCCTTCACCACATGGTGCTACGGCCCTGAACCCTGAAGCCAGCCCCAGGAGCATCTGATCACAGGCTGGGAGAGAAGCCACTGGGTGCTGCCCCTCCTCCCACACAGTCCCCCTAGGCAAGCAGCCTGAATCCCACAAAGACTCTTCAACAGCCAAGTCAGCCTCGCAGCAGCAAGGTAGATAAAGTCTGGGCTTCCCTACTGGCCACCAGAGTGACCAGAGGAATAGGATGCCATGACCCACGACCCTGGCTGCTGCCCTGGGCAGGAAGTGTGCTCTGTCCCCCCATTCCTGACGCAGGCAGCCGTGAGGGACCCGACAGGATGTGGGGCAAAGAGTGGTTCCCACATTCTCCCTGCCACATTCCGCAGCCTCAGACCCCAGCCCCCCACTGGGACGGTCTCAAGGGCAGGGGAGCCCTGGTCACGTGATTCCTGCTCACTTCCCACAGGCTGTGTGGGGGAGGGGCGCTCCTGGGCCATTGGGAGGGGACCAGAGGGAACTGCAGGCAGGAAACGTTCTCCCTCTCGCTTGGGAACCCCTCCCACCCAAATCCCTATGATCCCTCACCCCACAGAACTGCTCTGCCCGGAAGAGACAGGCCTCTGAAAACACACACAGGACAGCCCCCCGTCCAGTCCCTATGCCCCACCACGTGGGACGTGCACAACATGCGGGCCCAGTCTAGACAGATGCTCAGCGTCTGCAGGACATAAACAGCTGGTGTTCATTCACCTGGTCCCAGCTTCTCCCTGGAAAAGTGCCCTCCAAGAGGGCTTGTGTAGAGCTGGGGAAGGAGTGTGAGGAGGGGGAGAGGAAGTGGAGGGGCCTGTCCCTTTGCAGGGCTCAGGCCTGCTGACTCAGGGTGGCTGGAGACATAGCCAGGAAGCCAGGGAGCCGGGAAGCAGGGAATGAGATCGGTGCACGGTCAGACCGCAGGACACCGTATGCTCCAGTCCACAGCAAACTCTCTTCAACACCCCCAGCCCCCACCAGAGAAGGACAGGGCCACAGCTCTCACAGGCACCTGCTCCAAGCCTGCCCACCTCTGCCCACACCTGCTGTCCCCTCCAGTAGCCGCTGCACGAACCCCGACCACGCACCTTCCACGCACAACTCCACCTCCTCCAGATTCCGCAGAGTGATCCGCATGAGGCTCGAGTTGAGCATGAGCTCGTTCTTGTGGGCCGGCCACAGGTATGGTGGTGCAGGGTTCACAAAGAAGATCCTGGTGTCCCCAGTGGACACCTGGTTGTCACAAATGAGAGGATCTCCAAAGCCGCCGATCACCACCTTGTGGCCGCCATCCAGCAGACTCTCCTGGGCCACCACATCTTTCCCCTTCAAGTACCGCCAGACCCGAACCTGTGGTGGACATGGGAGCAGGTGTCATTGGCTCTCCTCCTGGGGAAAGGGGGCCAGGCTGGGAGCCTGGGCCCTTCCCCTCTTCTGGCCTCAGCCGCTCAGGCCAGATGTCCACTGTAGACCCAAGCCCTGGGCAGAGGTGTGTGGAGCTCTTTGAGTGAGCACAGTGCAGGCGGCAGGGAGACACACACAAGCCGTAAGCCACTGCCCATGCGTGTCACACGCCAGGACACGCTGCCCATGAACACTCCATTCCCCAGGAAGCAGCTCCCCCACCCCCAGGTCTAACCAACCCCACACCCAGCCACAATCATGTCCATCTCAGCACCAGCCTGAAGGGCCCGCTAGCCCTGCACTCCCATGATCGCCTGTCTGCCCACCCCGGGCAGAGCTGAGAACAGCACCACAGAGGAAGGGGTTTTGTGGCAAGAGACCAGCTTGGCTCTTTGCAGCCCTGTGGGTGGGCCAAGTCACCCTCCCCCCAGGAAGTGAAAGCCCCCTCCTCCAGGCTTCTACATCTGTGCAGTCATGGCAGCCCATGAACCACAAAATCAAGTTTGGGCAGCGTAGGGCGGGCCCCACCCTCCACCTTCTCGGCTCTAGGGGCCCTGAGGGCACCTGCTGGTGGGATGCCTAAAGCCCTCACCCAGGGCAGCCCTCACAGGAACAGGTCCACAGGAACATGGGCCCAGGGGACATGGACCCCATACTTGCTGAGAAAGGAGTCCTGGGGGGCTGGGGCTTTTGGAATGGGGGTGGTGAAAACAGTGGGTGGCCTGTCCACCTGCCCAGCCCCTGTTGGGATCCTCAGGGCTGCAGTGTCTGCAGGGACCCCCTCCAGGTGCCCAGGCAGAGCCTCATTTCCCCCGTCCTCCCCAACAGTGGGCTCTAGAAGGATGGTAACCCTGGCAGAGGGAGGGCCTGGCCGCTTTCATCGCCTCCCCCCACCCCAGCCACACCCAGGAGCAGCGGGGAGGAAGTCGGGAAAATCCTGCAGGGACTTGGCAAAGTGCCCTGGCGTGGTGGCGGGGAGGGGGCCCGGCGGGGGGATCCCAGCTGTAGCCGCACAGGCCAATCTGAAAGAAGCTGCCACCCCTCCCCATCTCCATGGAGGAGGAATGATCCGATTTCGGTCCCGGGAGGGGTGTGGGGGGCCAGAGGGGGAACGGGACCAGGGCCCCGAGTCCTTCCTAGGAGCAGGTTGTCGGGGGAAACCCACCATACCTGCCCAAGGGGCTCCCAAATCCAGCTGAAGGAGAAGCAAGTCAAGATCTCCCCTCCCTATGCCCGGGGGAGCCCCAGTTCTCCCAGGAACGGATGGGGCACCTGCCCCTGCCCCCACGTAAGCGGGGCTCACAGCGGCCCGGTCCCCTTCTCTGCTCCCGCCCCCGCACCCAGTTACTGCTGCACCCACCGGCCGGCTCCCTGGGGGCGGCCGATTGGGCGCTGCACCCCTTTCTCTCTCCTGACCTCCCCCTCTCGCCCTGGTAAAGGCGTCCGTGGGGGGGGGCAGGGCTGACCCACCCCAGGCAAAGCTCACGTCCCCTGGTCTGTGTCCCTCTCCTCGGCCGGTGGGGAGGGGCGCGGCGGCCACACACCGCCCGGGGTGAGGTGCACTGGTTTCCGATGGGGAGCGGGCTCTGGGTGGAGGGGCTCCCGAGCCCGGGCACCGCGGGTAAGGCCGCGGCGACACCGCAGGAACTTTCCCCCGGCGCTCGCGAGTTTTCCGGGACCCGGCGCCCCACCCGGGGGCTTGGCGGTCGCCGTCCCCGCGGCCCACCTTGCACGAGTACGTGTGCTGCACCGGGTCCACGTTGAGGATCTCCTCCACCGTGCCCGTGAGCACCACGTTCGCCTCCTCCTCGCGCCGCTCCAGCGCGCGCTCCGGGCACGTCCCGCCGGCGCGGGGCAGGCTGCGCGCGGCCACCAGCAGGAGCAGCAGCAGCGGCCGCAGC